ATAGATAGATAGATAGATAGATAGATAGATAGATAGATAGATAGATATAGATAGATAGATAGATAAGGTCAGTATTTTTTTTCTTCCATTTTTTTTGCCATCTCAAATAACTCGAGGTACAACAACACAGTTAATATTTTTGTCCTTAATTCTATATCAAATAACAATTTACTAGTATTTTGACTGTAATTCACAGTTTATGAGAAGATTTTTATGTATCAATGAATGGTGAAACGTTTTGCTAGATCAATTCCTCCTTTGGATGAAGTAGATGTTTGACGCGGATGGAATTATTCAGTAAGAAAGTGGAATGATTTAATCCATAAACAACCTGCAGTTGGATGATCTGCAGCAGATCCTTTTTGGCTGCCTGGAAAATAGCATTGACTTTGTTATGGTGGACGCTTCCTCCTCCCACTCCGTCGTCGCTGTAATGGTAGACGGCAGATGGGGTCGACTGCATTGTCACGCTCTTCTTGAGAATAGACTGCAGAGAGAAGGACGGGCAGGAGAAAAACGGGTTTAGGGTCACTCAGAATCTGCACGCGCACGGTAACGAACTCATGAATAGTCTGAGCTACATCAAGTCAGAGTCAAAGACCTTCACAGAACTTTGAGGCATCCCATCCTCTTTGGCAGACTGGGCCCGCTCATACATTCTGTTGAGGTCACCTGACATTTCACCTGGTAAACACACACACACACACACACACAAAAGGAGATTGTCAGTGCAAATGTGCTTATAAACATGGACCATTCTGCCGGGATCAGTACCTGTAAAAGTAGCTGGGTTGCAGAGGGAAGCCGATCTCTTGCTTTTTGGTGTGGACGTTTCAGAGGAGGTGGACTTTTCTACCAAGATTGAACAAAAACACGACTTCAAATCAGCGTTACCACAAACGAGACGACAGGGTGGATGCCAGAAACGAAGCTGGGGATGTGGCTACAGGGGTCGCACCCGCGTCAGACTTTTCCGAGCCGGTCTCGTCGGAGTGGGACATCTGCCTGCGGAAGCCTTTGTGTGGATGAGCCTCACCCACGACGTTGGCCACGGACACCAGGGAGATGGCCTGACTCTCCTGTAAGACACACACACACACACACACACACACAAAGGGGATTGGTTAAGGTGAATGGACCTCAACACAACTTGTCACAGATCTCTCACTACATGTTAGCTTGGATTCAAATAGAATTTAACATTCAGTGTCAAGCTTAACCATATAATGCCATTTGTATCATATTTGATACATCCGATTTCTTAAAAATTTTGCATCTGAGATCTTTTGCATCATTTCATGGTAAAAACTTTTTTTAAAACCCTGTTGTACACAATCTGGTATACCTGATAACAGTGGGCAGAAGACTATGCACAATAATTTTGACTTAGCAGAAGCTAATAAATGACGAATATTCTTTTTTTTATTTCTGTTTTTTCTCATATATTTTATGAAGGGTCAAAGAAATAAAGACTAAATTCTCCCTATTTTTTCTTGGATTGGGCTTTAAAGGGTTAAACACATGCTCGATCCATAAACGTCATACTGTGTGAGCAAAAAAAGGCAGAAAGTACCGGGTTGAAGAGCTCAGTGGTGAGGCCGAGGTAGTTGTGTAAAGCAAGGAAAGTCACTCTCTGGAGACGCACCATTATGATCTACAGAGGGGCAAAGAAACATGGAGATATCAATGTGATTTTAACATGGCTCCCCACAACTCTGGGTTCTGTTGCTTCCCGATGCGTTTTAGGATTCGAGATGGCACCCAAGCCGAGCGTTACCTGGGTGACGCGAACTAGGGTCTCGGGGTATTTGTCGAAAACCGACAGAAAGGCGGCGGCCGGTAGACGCAGGACGGTGGAGGTGACCGCCGCCCGGGCAGAGACCGTCTTGTAAGGAGCTGGGTGGCCCTGAAAACGGACAGAAAAAGCGTGTATGGCGGATGGAAAAACGGAGGCTGTCAACTTAAAGAAAAAGGATTGGACTGAGAACGTACGGTGATGAAGTCCAGCATGCTGAGCAAACTGTGAACGCTGTCCCCCGGAAGCACATCCTTCACCACAGCATCCGTACCGTCCTGAGAGCAGAGGAGGGAGGGAAAAGTGTGGGTCAGCCCTTTAAAAAGTATCGTAGAACAAGCGGAGTCCATAGGCCAAGTTACTTAGACCAAAACGTGTTAATGTTCAAAGATTTTAAGGGATATGAGATCAGCAGCAGTATGAACGACACAAAGTCGATAAATAAAGAGGCCAAAGACCATAAAGACATTTAGAATCTACTAAAACCCAATGCAAAGATGTGTTCAGGCACTCTAGTCCTTATCAGAACATGAACCCCTTAGTTCTGGAGTACCTGTAAGCTAAAAGTACTCTTTTTAAGAAGACCAGAGAGCATCACAATGATCCATTCTACTATAATGTTCATGTTCATGTTCATACATTTGGCAGATGCTTTTATCCAAAGCGACTTACAGGGTAGTACTATAAAATAAAAGCTAGCTTCAGCACGTCAGTGTTGGTAAGAGAGAGAAATGGGTGGACAATATTTTTAAGATGATAAAATCCTGTTTTTATTATGTTTATAATAAGTGGAATAAAATTCTAGCTCAGAGTAAAAAAAGGAGCCCAAGATTTCTCACAGTTTTCGGTAAAATGATCTGGGTCTAAAATTGAAAGTATAACAAAGCTTTCTCATACACACTATTCTAACACCTTTAAGTGAACAGAACACTAAAAGGTAAAAAGATAAGAAAAAACACAACGAATTAAAAGTCCCCATGTGTTCAGTGAAACTGTGAAGGTGTTAGACCTACACTCTCGTGGATGCACAGCTCCAGACGGCCATCTTGGACCACAAAAATGCTGTCATCCGTGTCCCCGGGCCGGAAAAGTCCCTCCCCTTGGTGAAGATGGATCAGCACCATGTGACGGCACAGCTCGAGAAAGAGGGGCTTTTCAAAGTGGCCCAGGACCCTGCAGGCAAAGAGCAAACAAAACAACTCCAACAACACTCACAAAATGCAAAAACACATGCTTCATGTTATGTATTTTATGCTAAATAATCTAATAATAGTTCAGTTTCACTTTCATTGCAGATCAGGTTAAATAAATGTTAAATAATTCACGACAACCTGCCATCCGTGACGTTAAATACTCAGAGGAATGGCTTGAAACAAAATACTGGGGAAGAATGCATTATCTTTGTTCAGCTTACCAAACCTAAAGACACTGAAATGGACAAAAGATGCATCCCTGTTCAAAAGGACGATAAGGACTTCTTACCAACCTGACATTTTTCAGCATGTACAGCACCTCCGACGGAAGATGGGAGTTCTGGACATCAAACTCGGTCAGATCGGCCTCCAGCAGGCAGGGAGGAGGCTCCTTTGGCTGCAAGGTAGGGGGCTCCTTCTGGATTTGGAGGAACCTGACCCAATCACAAAAAAAAAATCGAATTAGAAAGGAATTAAAAAACTGCATTGGCACAAAACCTGATCTGGTTTAAAGTTTGATTTTCCCTGCTCCCTTTAGTCACACAGTTACAGCTTAATCTCCCTTTTCAACCAAATAACTCATTGACAGCGTGGGCCTTGTGGTAAACATCGCTTTTGCTGAAATGACCGATTCAAGAATCAACTTTTTCACAACAGAGTGCTTGAAAAAAGATCTCACTTTCGAGCTATGGACATGACTTTGATCCTCTTCCTCACTCTCTGTCGAAGGGCTGAGCTGGAGTTCGCGGCGGAGGCTGTGGACAGTGTCTGAACCTGTAGCGGCAAGACAGAAGGCAGGAAACAAGGTTTTCACGTATTTCAATAAAGCCTTAAATGGTTTTGATGTTTAATTTATCTGTATAGTGATCAAAGATGACTTTTTTTTTGTTTCTCTACATGAATAAACTGAATCAAACTATACCACGAGAAACTTAATGGACAACAGGGCCAAAAAAAAAGGGTGAACAATGGCTTAGATTTAATTTAATCAAACAAGCCTCTGATAAGTAGTTCTAATCTATCAAAGAGCCATCTGATTTCTGTTTCCCTAAAGTTCAACTCACGGAAACCTGACCTTTTGTACAAATCGGTTAAGCCGATCAGCACAGTTAATCTGCTTCAGATTTCTGATTGCTGTAAAGTACGAAAAGGTTTAAAAGTGGCATATGTTCCGAAAAACTTCGGATCATTTCCGCTTTGTAAGTTTCAATGCACGTTGAGGGAAATTCTGCAGAGAACAAAACATGAGTCAACAAAACGGAAAGAAAAGTCAACAAGAAAGTAAGCCAATGTAGAGTCGATATCAGCCAAGAGTCAGAATCTGAATACAGATAACAGTGAATCCAAAATACCTTCAGACAACACACAGAAATTGGGAAATATGACTTTATTTGATATAACTAGTTTTGGTTTATCTTTTAGTTACTTTTAACCCTTTGTTGTAGTTATGACTTATTGATTTTAATGCAATCCTAAATGTTTTACTCTCTTTTTTCCGCCTTATGAGGAAAAATGTGGCAATATTTCAGGCAACACCAACCTTTCTCATGATCTTCCGGCCGTAGAACATCACCTTGTCTCTCTTCCTGAAGCGATAGTGAGGGCCACCATCCTCCTCCTCTGCAATAAGCAGACACTCTGTGTAAGGCCACCAGCCTCCATTCAAACAGCCTCCTGTCTGCACGCTTTGGGAACTTATTTGTAAGCTTTTCTTTTTTCATTTTCTCCTAAAAACTGTAAATGTATCTAGGTATAACTTACAATTTTAGATAGAAGTGAAAAGAAAAGTTCTAACGTGAAACACATTTTGTCACTTAAGCATAAACACAGACCTTTTTTTTTCTGGAGATTTATGATAATACTTTAAATACAAGCCATTAAATCTAAATCGAAGGATTTGCTGTTTGTTCATCTGCTTTAACTCTCCAGAGATTAGTTAGATACAGGTGCACTTTGAAACATTTCTGGGTGCACAGTATGTGCCACTGACTTGACAATTTGTATCTTCTGTAAAGAAGGAAGATAATAACTCCCATGATTGAAACTCCTGTCGCGGCTCCCACCAGCATAGAGACCCACTGGAAGAAAAACAAAAAAAACAAATGAGCTTTCTTAATAACCCAAATCCATATTGTGTTAATGTAAAAGTTCTTGTAGAAACGGCATCTATGGATAGAAGCAACTACACAGATTGTTGTAAAAAAAATTGTTGTCAAACCACATAAACGTGACGCTGGATGCTCACCAAACTGACTTCTGTGCTTTCGTCCACAAATTGCTCCATCTTTGCTTTGATCTCACTGCTAAACGGGACAAGGCTCTGAAGTATTTAGAGCAAAAAGAGATGCGAGGGACACCGTTTTGTCAGTGAAGTGAAAGAAAACTGAATGAAAAGATCATTTTCAACCTAAACACTACTAATGATCTGGCAAAAAAATAGATCGCATAAAATTTGTAACCTATTTTTCATGATCTGAACAAAGAAGGAGACAGTCCTTTGCATCTAAAACTGACAGAACTCATAAAATAGTGACATACTGGGTAGATACTGCAGCTGTCATCCTCAGTTTGGTCTTCCATGACTCCCATAAGAAACTGGAGCAAATGCAACAGGGAAAACAATCAGCCGGCGTCAAATTAGGGAACACATTCCAAAGCTGTGAAGACAAGCAGAAATCTTGAACGAGCATTAACAAATCTGGACAACAATCTCCAGGATCCCACCTGGGAGCGCCCAGCTGACCAGCAGGGTCAGGGAGCTTTCAGAAATCTGGGTTAAAGATCATCTGCTCTTTTCACTCAGTGTTTGAAACCCGACACTCCTTCCAGCACTTAGTGTTCAAGCCCCATGGGCTCTGGAAAAAAAAAAAAAAAAAAAGGGTACAAAGCTCGTCATCTGGATAAAGGTCAAGGCAAGTGAACTCATGTGTGTTTACCACGGACGCTGTACTATTTGCAAACCAAACCTCATTCAAATTTTTACAATTTTTTTGTTTTTTTGTGTAAAACTCGGCGAGATCTGCAGAAAAAGCACTAAAAAGTCAGTTTCAAGTAATTTAACTAATGTAACGTAACTTTCCGCGAAGTGACTGGACATGTTGGATAGCGGTGTGACACGTTATACTGAGATGCTTTTATACTAACAAGTCGAACGAATATAGAAAAGTTCAAATTTTCCAGCCGGAACTCATTTGCACTGTCAGAGTTAAGAATAAGGGTTAGTGCTGTTTAATGTATCGTTTTACATGCATATAAAGATAGTAGAAAAATAAGTTCAAAGTCTGTTTACGCTTTTATCCTCAGTGTGACCGCGACTCAGCTGCATTTCGCCTCAAAACAAGGACAAATGCAGTGAAAGTCCAATAAAATTGACAAAGTCTGCAATGACAACTGCTCGCAAATAAAAGAGAAAAACTGTAACTCAAGAAACAGCCGTCAAAGGAATAAAATCATACCTTTCCCACGTTAAGAGTTTTGTGTTTAAGCGCATAATAACAGTGTCAAATCACTTTAGTCAAAGATTATGTCGAGGTTCCCATCCACTTTTCAAAATAAAGCCACGAGCTAAGCCATTGAACGTCACACAGTCCAAATAAAAATGTGACAAAGAATGTATTTCATAACCTTGCGCCAAAAAGTATTTTTCTTTCGATGGTCAAGTTGAATGTTAATTCAAAACAGTTTTGAAATAACTGTTCTTCACCCGTAAAAATTATTTTTGAGAATATTTTTCAAAAGGAAGTTGGTGTTATTTCCAAACCATTCGCCCTGCCGTAAGCAACTTTCCTGATTTTACTTGATGCAGCCGCAATCACGTATCAGTATCTTGAATTCTGATTGGTTGGTAGTAGTGGCTTTTGGCCAATCACTGAGCGTTTCATGACACGGTGAGAAATTCCACTTGGGCTGTTGGACGACTGGTGTGCTCAAGGTGAGAAGAGATTTTATAACGTATGTGTATAAATATGATAGTTTGTTATACCATGATAAAAACTGAATCACTAAAAAAAGGCAAGGACATTTTCGACTTTATAAGTGGCAGCTACACGAAATATACAATGTTGTTGTTTGCTAGCTTGACAGTTGTATGCTAGCAAGCAAGGTAATGGCAAGCATTTGACAACACGCAACTTAGTAAATTGTTTTTCGGTTAAAATAATTAGCTGTTAAAATGTCCAGTGTGCCTTGTGAAAATAGAATAGAGGCCCTTCATTTACTACTCCTTTGCATTTACGTGTTCATTTATCATAATGAGCTGCAAATGTTGTGGAGGTGCAGTTTTACGTCATAAAAAATGTGTAACTAACACATTTGTTTTCCCCTTTTCATTGTTTTCTGTACCATGAAATATCACAGCGCCATAGCAGCATGGGGGTACTGTCCACACTTACGAGGGGTCTCATCAGAGGCGCAGACAGGATGTCAGAATTCACCAGCAAGCGTGGTTCCAGGACTCACAACAAAGGCAGAGGAGCCAGGCCTGCAGGACTGAGGCTGTCCAGCGGGAAGTTTCTGTCAGTAGGAGCCATGATTCCCGAGTTTGTGGTGCCCCATTTGGAGGGATTCAAACTCAGGCCCTATGTGTCATACCGCTCACCCAGAGGAACAGAGCCCCCGGTTACAGCGCAGAGTTTATTTGATGAAGTGGTTGCCCCACAGATCCAGAGGGACTTTGAGGAGGGCACCTTCAGCAAAGAGCAGCTGGAAAAGTACGGATTTGAGGCCACACAGGAAGGAAAGCTCTTCAAGTTGTACCCTAAGAACTTTGTCCGTTAGTGGATAACTGTTGCGGAGTGAACATCACCGGATGACTGACCCCCTGAAGACCGCAGGAACATGTCACAAGACTGAATTCCACTCATTCCTTAGAACTATTTGAAAATATGGTAAATAAGATCTCAAAAGAAAATGGTAGAGCAGATCTGTGCATTGACATTTTGCATAAGCTGACATTTTGAGATAATTTACACAAAAAAGGATTAACAAAACCTCCATGTTTTGTGATCACTGACTGTATAACGTGGGAGTAATTACTGATTCTTTTAATATTTCATTCTTGTTCAAGCTTAGACATTCTCCATAAAAGTACTCACGTTTGCATTTGTGTTAGTCATAAACTTCCTTTTTATTTCTTTTACAGCCAGGAATAGAAAAGGCAGCCATTTCCATTAAATACTGTGCTTGGTCTCAAAGAATAAAAATATCAAAAGACTATTTTGGTGTGCAACATTGAGTGGAAGAACATTTTTTTTAGAGGTTTATTAAAAGGAAACCTTACATGTCACTTGACTGGTATGTCCGAGGAGAAAGATGTTTTTCCCATTATTTGCCATTAAGAAAAGTGTCCCCCTCTTGATACAAAAAGCTTTAACTGAAAAAGGATGTGTGATGTGGAGGATGTGCTAACTCTTGCAACCTACAAATGATTATAAACAATTATAAATGTCATTCAAATCATTTTTTTGCTAGTTGCATATTCAGTGAGAGGTTATTCCAAAGTGTTGGACTCATCATCATGACAAGGAAAGTACATTTGGAATAAATATTTGATGCTTACGTTGAATCTAAACTGTTCGTTTAGAAATGAACAGAGCTTTTCAATGGCGTCATCTCAGAAAACCCTGCAGTGATCAAAATGAATCCGGGGTCCAGTCCCAGCGCCACACGTGAAGCATGTGGTCGTAGAAGGAGCAGCTGGCCAGCAGACAGGAGAGGGAGGGGGCGTCCTGGTCCAGTTCGGGGGCTGGAGCTGCCGGGGGGGGCGGTGCGGCCCCCTCTGGGATGTACTGGCCGGCGTCGTCCTCCAGGGAGGTGTGGAAGCTGGCGGTGGGGGACTCGTACTGGATGCGCAGGTGTCCTCTGCTCTCGGCGGGGCTTCGCTTTGGCTCGGCGGGGGGGGGGGAGCGCGGCGCCGGGCCCTTCAGGGACAGCTGGGACCAGTCGGCTCCGTACGCCAGGGAGTTGTGGAGGATGTAGGAGGCCACCACGGGGCACGCCCCCCCACCGCCCTCTGTAAAATGAGGTGGAACGGTAAAGATGAAGGATCAAAAGCCTCAGGTTATCATTTAGCTCTCACACCATATTTTTCCTAATATCCTCGCAGGTCTGAGGTCTTGATGGTATAACCTGAACTCAATACATTTTCATTTGTCATCATTCACTTCCTCCCAATCGAGCTCCTCAAATTTGGGTTTTTTATTTTCCCACTACTGTTTTGTTACTTTATATTTGTAGGCTGTCCGATTATTACGACAGATTATTTCAAGTCTAGCATTAAAAACTAGGGCAAGGTCATTTTTCATTATTTAGGCTGTAACTACTTATATACTTACATTTGAGTTGTCCCTCCAGTTTGGGGGTAAAGTCAGGAGAAATCCAATTTTGTGCATTTGACACACTGACATCAAGATAGCTCTTGATTAATTTTTTCTCGAGATAAGCAGGACAGTGAGAGCTGTGGTATTCAGAAATCAGAAAAACAAACCAACCCCAAATCTAAAACTATGCTTCCCATATATATACACATTTCCTCGTCCACCCCACTCGTACCTAGGCTTGTCCCGATCCGATATCTGGATCGGGCGCCAATATTCGCAAAAAACTGCGCATCGGCCGGCAGGAGAAAATGCCGATCCAGTTTTTTTTTTTAAAGTCTGATCCCACACGAGCATTAGCATCTGTAACCCACAGGTCTGTGTCCTAACCATTAAGTTGTTATCGGAGCAAATCCCTGTTCATTATGAGTCTGACAACTAAGTAAGTAGCTAAATAACTTAAAACGTTAATGCACGCTCTGATAGGCCGGGATCGGATCGAAAGTGCAAAAAGCTGGATTGCGACATCCCTACTCGTACCCACCCAGAGCCTGCTGGCAGTGCAGCACGTGGAAGTCGTTGTGCATGCAGGCGGCCAGCAGCAGGTGGGGGTGGGCCGGGTGCCACTTGAGCCTCCACACCCCGCCGCCCAGGGGGCTCTCGCTGAGGGGCTGCCGCGTGTTCCTGCCGTCCCACAGCAGCACCTGCTCGTCGTAGCTACAGGGGGGGTGGGGGGGGGGGGGGACGGTCACAGCATTGAGAAAGAGAGAGAGCGAAAGGCCCCCCTCCAGGTTCCCTCCTCACCCCCGGAGGAGGACACCCACCTGCCCGTGGCCAGGACGTGCTCCCGGTGGGGGCTGCTGTGGATGCTGCACACGCCCATCGAGTGTCTGGAGCCAAAATAAAAGACAGGACTCCGTCACAACGACTCACCAGAGAGGACCCTACCCATCAGCGGTGACACTGACTTCTGTTCTCCCACCTTTTGCTGCAGAAAACGGGACTGGAGGTAGAGACTCGGAGGTCCCAGCCTTTGAGTTTACAGTCGTCGCCACCTGGGTGGAAACACACATGGAGGGTATGGAACTCCAAAACTATCGCATATACTAATCAGATACAAGACTCCAATTAAATTAGTTCCTGGCTTTAAGTTCAAAACCACCCATCCAGCTAACACTGATGAGCTAACCTCTTTAAAAGGTCACGACTCCATAATAAAACAAGTTTGTTTTCGAAGGTGGAAGTTAAAACAGGTGTCGTGCAAACATCCAAACAGATTCAAATCTGTAATGAGAAACTCTGTTTCCTCTACTTGGATGATCGGACAGCTTTCATCAGGTTGAAAGTGCAACGCTCGGCCGAGTTACCGGAGTAAACCAGCTGCGTGTCCCAGTAGGAGAAGGCTGCTATCCAGGCCTCGAAGTCGTGGGCCTTCCAGTGGGCCGTGGCCACCGGAGCGGCCTGGGCCAGGGAGCAGACGCTCACGCAGCCCGCCGAGTCGCTGCACACCGCCCGCACCTCGCTGCTGCTCACAGGACACACACACACACACACACACACACACTGGACATCACGCTAGCCCACAAAGTGCTACAGGTTATGGCTCCCGTCTACCCGAACCCTCTTATGTCTCGGCTCGTTTCCTCCGGTCATCAGCGGGTTGTTAAGACAATCAGACTGTTTCCAGGTGTTGTTCCAAGATGGTGGAACGACCTACCGGGTCCCTGTCTGTCTTCATAAACTCCTACAGACCCAGCTCTCCACAGAGCTTCTCCCATCCAAACTCTTAAGCCGGGCGTACACTGTGCGACGTTTTTGAGCTCCAGCTCAAACCGCACGACCAAATCATTTCTGTTGTGCGTCCAAAAACGCATGTCAGACTTCAAATAGAAGACCAAGAAGACGAAGTTGAACAACACTGAAGGAACGTGAGGGTCTCCACAGCTAAAAGCGCTGCCTGGGCAATTTGCGCGACTGTGTGTTCCGAAAGTTTTCAAAAAGAAAAGAAAAAAAAGGCGTATTGTGAATTTTATTATTAATATTGGGCGGCAATCCCCCCCCAACGGCCAGAGCTCCACAAGTTGTGATTCCACCGTTTGATTCCTGATACTCTGTGTCACTTTCACTGTGTTAGCACAGGCACCGAGCCAGAGACGGAGGGGGATCGGGTCCTAGACGCTCCTAACATGGCTCCAATAACACGGTTCCCTCCACGAGGGCCGAGGCAGAAAACTCAAACTGGTTTGATTTCCATACAACTGTCTGATTGTGGATCTGGAGCTGGTCGTGACTTAGGTTAATGGGTTCTCGTTACTCTGTGTATACGACACCATGTGAGACGCACCAGTGAGCTGAAAATTGGCCTGATCCAAGAAACTCTCGCACCAGGGAAAAAATCAGGTCAAAAAAGGGGGAAAAATACAATAATTTGCACAGTGCATGCCCGGCTTAACCCATACCTCTGTACCCCTCTACTCCTCTTTCTGTGCTTCCCTCTCTCTCTCTCTCTTTGCTGTCACCACTGATTCTGACTGGGGATTTTCCTCTAGGGAACTCATTTTCAAACTGATAAGAACTGGAACATTGTGTCTACTTTGTAAGTCGCTTTGGTTAAAAGCGTCTGCTAAATGAAATTATTTATGAACGTAAATAAACATAAACACATATGGCTTGTGTAGGTTTAGAGTTTATGTGGGACAAGTGTAGGTTTTACGGGCGAGGAGAAGCCAGCAGAGGGCCTCCAGCAGCTCCCAGTACCAGCACCAGTACTAGTACCTGTCCTTTCTTCCGGTGGACCAGTCTAGAGACAGAGCCAGCCGCTCCGCCCCCACCTCCACGCTGCCCAGAGTCTGCAGACCACGCCGCCCCTCCTGCTGGACGCACACCTCCGCGTTAGCAGTTACAACAAAAGCCTCACAAACACGACCGACGTGCTCGTGCACATTTCTTTTTTGTATGCTCCGCTGTAGTCTGGCAACATGCCGCCTTAGCGTATGGTATTTAGAGATCGGTATCTACGTCTGTAAGTAAAACGCTGTTCTTGTTTTGCTCGGCCAGAGGGGCAAATTTGGTCTTTCTTCTTCTTTAGTTAATGTGGCCTTTAAAAATGTTGTGGTGCTTACTGAGACAGACTGAGAGGCAGCATTTCTACTTTTGAACTATGCCAACTGGGGTTGTGGTCAGAGGCGTTTGTGGCCTATCGTAGGACGCGGTACAGTGCTGTAACACGGATCAGGGGAAAACCGGAGGGAACGTTCACGTTCCCTGGAGGAAAACTAAAGCTGATTGTTAAAAGCAAAGTCTGGTTCTGGAGTCCTCAGCAGGGGGCCCTGCTCATAAAATGGGTCTATCGTCTGTGGGAATAAACTATTTACACTTTGGCCAGATTGGATCCCCTTAATGCTGACTAACCTATTTCAGTAAACCTGAAGTTACCTGCTACTCTAACTGAACAGCAAAGCAGGCGGTAAAGTCAGGTTGGACCCGAAATGATGCTAAATTATAGCTCCAAATTCCGAGGCAGGTGGTGTGAAACGCTCATTCAGGATTAAACCTAAAATTAAATTCCAGAGGATACGACTCAGTTGCGCCAGTGGCAGATTCCCAGACCAAGCAAAACAGTTAGCTCCAAAGGTTTCTGCCACCGATGCCAAATCCGTAGCCCCAGTAGAGACGGAGAGTAGTTTCATTTTTCCTATTCAAATGATTCAACATTTGACAGAAGTAGAGTCCAATATGTTAAGCAGCAGCTGATCGGCTTCAAGTTTGGATGTGCCGTTTGTTCTAAAATGTTCCGCTCATAACAGGAAATATAGTGTTTTAATGTAGTATTTTTTTCATTTTGAAGCTCCAACCAGTCAGAACAGGTTAATCCAACCTCCCACCGTCAAAGAACGATGACGACAGCTCACTACATTTGTTTTGATTATAAGAGCTGATGTGACATGGGATTTTCTCCACTGTGAGATCAATAAAGGCTATCTTATCTCATCTTAAATGAGCAGTTTGCACAGGCTACGCACTTGGTCTGAGGTCATTTTGGAGTCTTCTGATGCCACGTGTCTCACCTGGCTCTTCGACAGAGCGTACAGCTGCAGCTCCCCGGTGGCAGCAGCCACTCCCAGCACCGGCTTCTCCGCCAGAGGCACGTGGCACCTACAGCAACAAGACGCAAAGCCAACGGGGGGGGGGTGAGGAGGTGGTGGCAACCGGTGACGCTCTGGTCCGGCCGTAGCTCGTACCATTTCATGTCTAAAATGGCCGCCGTGTCCATGCGCTGAAGCTCGGTGAGCGGGGGCCCCATCGGTCCCTCCTGCTTAAACTCAAAAAGGTACAGGCGGCCGGTCCGGCTGGGGGGGGCATCCTCTTCCCCTACCTGCAGCAGAAATGTTTGAGTGAAATGTAAGAGACATCTACGACCGTTGGCTAGGAAAAGTATTTTTCTAAATTATTTGAATCATTCATAAAAACACCTTTCATACAGAAGGTGCGCTTTACATAAGAAAAACTCTTAATAGTCTCTGTACAAGTTTGCAGATGGACCTTGTGGTCAGAAATGAGTCAGTGTTAGGGTCAGCATTCAAAGAATTGGTACAAATTTGAGATAATTTAATGTTGTCGGTTCTTCCTTAAAGCACTATGTTGACATTTTGCCAATCACTGGAGCCCTCCTCCCCTCCAGTTAGAGCTGGAGACTAAAGTTTCCATATTTTGAGGGGAACTGTCTCTGCATAAATGCTCCATTCTCTTCAGACAGCACAAATTTGAGCTGACATTGCTCACTCCACAGGTCAGTTGTTATCATTTATATATGAAAAGCGGAGGTTCTCAGCAGATCGTTTTGTTTGAATTTCTCATCTTTTCCCAACTAATGACTAAATATCAATTATAGTTCATCACATAAAGAACCTGAGCTTTGGTGTCATTGAGTGACCATAGCTTGAAACTTGACAAAATGGCCTTTGGTTTGACTCGGTTTGAGAGCAGATATGGGGCTTTTCCATTAGTACCTAACCAGTCCTACTCACCTTGGCTGGCCTCACTGTAGCTTGGCTTAGGTGGCTTCCGTTAAAAGCGGGCTCCTAACAGAAAGATGGGCCGGGCAGCCTGCTCAGAACCCGTGCTAATCCTAACTGTTAGGAGGCGCCGGCCCCTAACGGAAATGCACAAAAAAAAAAAAAAAAAGAAAAGGCGCGGGGTCACGCTGAGGAGACACTACTGGAAAAGCCCCATTAGTGGTAACATCCCTATCAAAGATGCCTGCTTCCCTCACACTCTGTGTTCGGACTGACCAAATCAAGACCAGAAATACTTTTGCTCCACGTCAAATACATGTCAGTGGCAGTGCTTTAAATGAGAGTCACCTATTTATGTCGAAAAGTCTCCTTTAGGTGGCATATTTGAGGACAAATGCCTTTTTTATTGATCATTTGTCTTTTGAGTTTGAGTGCAACAGGTTGTGGAATTTTGCTGAATTTAGCCCTCATAAATGAACATATCCATTTCTGTAACATAACCTAAATTTGAATTATTTTGTAAGAAGCTAAATAAGTGAGCCTTACATGTAATCTTCCTCCACATTTTTTTATTAAAGCTGATAGCCCAGTACAACCCTATTGCCCCATTTCTTTTTCTTTTTTTTTGGAGGAGGTGGTTAGCATAACTGTACAAACCAGGTAAAAATATCTAATTCTACTAAATAGGTTTGAGAAGTTATAGCAGAGTTAGAGTGGGGATGTGGATAGAAGGGTGGATGGATGGATAGTGGCGTGGGTCGCATGTAATTTTACCCCTTTCTGTAGCTGATACGTGCCGCAGGCCAGGATATCGTGACTCGGTGAAACGGGACACCATTCTACCGTGTCAGCACTCAGCTCGGTGTCAAACACCTGTAGACTTCGAGTCCTCGACTTCCAAGCCATGGCCGCCTCTTCTGCATAACGTTACCGCTCTAATGGGATAAAAAACAGAAAAGTACTCATTTTAAACGTAACTATGTTGCAAATTTAATTGAAAAACAAAACAAACACACGACAACACCAGTCTCATGTTAGCCTGTTTGGTAGTACCCCTAATATATCCAACCTTAAGCTAACTTTCAAGATGCTAACTTAGCTAACAAACAGTTTGGTCGCATGCTCGCAAGCTTAAAGTAATGTCACACGACGGAGTCTGCGACTCCATACTGGTTCTCTAAGTTAGTCATTTTTTTATTTTGTTTAAGAAAGAGCATCCTTAAACAGGGTAAATATAAACAAAACTCACATGTGTGCCAGTCTTGACTTAACGCTGTGCGTCTTGACGTCACAACTGACCGTAGTGATACATTCACGGACCGGAGGAAAAAATAGGAACGTAAAAGGAACAACTGGAATCCTTAGAAGGCAGCGTTCAGTAAAGACTGAAAGTACAATACGAATGATTGCGGAACACATGTAACCACACGTACACGTGCACAAATACGCCTCTCTCTGTCTCATATGAGTATTCGGCTTTGCTAATAAAATATCCATTTCGTACGTTTTGACGTAGTGAGATGCTACGTTCAGTGGTGGTCACGTGAGTTTCGGCTTGTGCCATTTTTTTTTTTAGTCGCTGTTGTTGTCTTGTGTACTGTGCACTGTGCGTGTCATCCCCATCTAGTTAGAAATACAATCGCGATGGATTTTAACGTGAAGAAACTGGCTTCTGGCGCCGGGCTTTTCTTCACGCGGGCTGTCCAGGTAAGGATCAGCTTTGGGATCGCCGGAGCTCGCCTCTCACGCTTCCTTTCACTTTGCCACCCAGCTGTTACGTTTTGCTGCATCCGAACTGCTGTGCATTTCGCTCAACACACAAGGCTTTGGGTTGGCACATAAAGCCTAGTTTTCCGATATTACGCGTCGCTTTGGTTATAGCTTAAGCCAAAAAAAAAAACATTTTTTAACACAGATCTGCTCAGTTATTATCACTGATCATGTTTGATCGCTACTTGCTTCCCTTTAAGACATAAATAATTCAGTCGTGCTGGCAGGACGTTCCAATGGGCTTATTAACTTTTAGGCTCAAAGCTTCATTATGAGGGATGGGGGGAGATGGGACGGGCCGGTAATGGATGACAAGCGAGCGCGAGCTGGTCTCGGGACCCACGGCGACGTCACGACATCACGTCGATCTCTGTCTTTTTAAACTGTCTTTATTATTATTGTCATCATTATCAGTATTTCTGTTGTTGGAACTTGTTGAGGTGAGGGTTTTGCTCGTGCGTAAAGCCTTTTGCGCCCCTGTGCGTCAGTTCACAGAGGAGAAGCTGGGCCAGGCGGAGAAGACGGAGCTGGACGCGCACTTCGAGAACCTGCTGAGCCGCGCAGACTGCACCAAACACTGGACGGAGAAGATCCACGGCCAGACCGAGGTCCTGCTGCAGCCCAACCCAAGTAGGACGCCACTGTGGCCCGCTCCCAGTCCCGCACGGAGGAGGTTTCTGGGGTGGGAGGTGGGGGGGTTGGGGCTCTTTGGCCAAACTAAACTAAGCAAAACTCCTCTTAAGTCCGGTTTGCTGATGAAACAGCTGCAGGCCAGCTGTTCACGTCGTACAGATGATTGTACCAAACGGATCAGGGAGGTCAGATTCGGTTATAGAACGCGATAATTGGTCGTGTTTAACATGAGAAGTGATCAGAATCGCAGAATCACGAGGTGAACCAGTACTAAAGTTAGAGAAAGATGATCTATTTGACCAGTTATCAAGAAATAGTTACTGAAGGCAGCCATATATAACATTGCCCCTGCCAAGAACAATTCCTAAATATGAACCCCTACTCGAATAGAATGCTGCATTTATCTGAATTTTTAGAATAAGGTTTTACATATAAAATGTACAGTATATTTTATTTTTCGTTTATACATAAAAATATTTATATATTTTTTACATTTTTTCTATATGTATTTTGTTTATATATTAGTTAAATATTTGATAAAATATATATATTATTTTAAATATATTATATTGGAAAAGAAATAAAGGAAGGAGCAAATAGAGATCTGATGCTCATGAGGTCTCAAAATGAGACAAATCCAACCTGGTCTGGTAACACAAAAACGTGACCAGTTGTGGGTGACCGCATCAGTCTCACTTATGGTTGTGCAGGAACTGTGACCCATCACTGTTCACAACTTCACAATCTTGCACGAGTTTGTTGCAGTTCGTGGCCCTTCATTGTAGAATTTTGCCAGTAGGGGAACTAATGGACAGCTCGGTGACTGCAAAGTGCCCAGGGTCCAGAACCTCTGGAATAAGGCTAAATCATCAGCCCCCCCCCCCCCCCCCCCCCCCCCACCGTGCACAACACCACCAGGACAGGATCATTGCTTTAAGGTCATTGACCTAGTAGGATACAGAAATGAAATAAACTGTTTTTTTCTTGCCCTCACACCCAAACTATAACGTGTTAGATTTCATTAGGCGCAGATCCAGTTTTAGAATTGTGTTCAATTGTTAAATTTAGGGACTTCTTCACTGAGTTTGATCCACTGATTTGTAGGTTTGCAGTCGTTTGTGTTGACTTTGAATTGAACAAATTCATGCACACGCTGGCAACATGTGGGAGAAAAAGCTGGTTTACGTGCACGTTGGAACCTTTACATATTGCCCCCTAGCTTTAAGAGTGTTTGAATGCTTCACGTTCTCATGAAAAGACAGCAGAATCTTGGAGGTTGAAACATACAAGCCCATTATTAGTCCTCCATAATAACACAGTTTGGAAATACTTTAGCGTCAAACTTGAGATTCACTTGAACCCGTTCTTGGATGATGGGGCTTACACATATTCTTTTAATGTATTTGTATAGTAATATGGAATAACGTTTGCTAGGGGGCTCTAACTTGTTATTTTTTGACTCTCCATGCCACAGTTGACCACACTGGTGAGTATTCTGCCTCCCTACTTCCCTGTAGTGCCCTGTTGTGGAACCTTGCCATGTCTTTGAATCATTAGGGGACAGAAGTTGATCGTTCTTTGGCGTTCAGCTCAAAGTCAGCTGTAAAAACCCCTGTTTCAGCCTCAGGAAGGGATAGCATCGGAGAGACTTAAGCTTTGACATTAAAGTTTAGTGATTCGTTTCTGGAATTATCATTGACCTGGGGTATGTTTTATCTGGTCTTTTTTTTTTTTTGTCTTTTTAGTACTAAATGTTAAGCCGGACAACTTTAAAAACTGGCCCCACTCCTTGGCCTTGAGTGGCTTAAAAAAGAAGCAAAAATATTTAGGGCAGAGTTCATAGCTTCAGTACCATGGCAGAAGTCAAACAAAAAAACAATTTAAGAAATATGTTTGGCTTAGATTTCCTCTTCTTTTTTTTCGTGCCACTTTTAGTGCTATTTTTGTTTGCACTAACTGCTTTGTAGGATGCACAAATGCCGTCCTATTACCTGACAAAGACAACAAAAGAGGTTCCTGTAGGTCAGTTAAACTAAGTAAAACTATCAGATGACATTACTTACTCTGTTGGGATGACTTCTAAGGCCTTTCGATGCTACTGGAGTTCTTTTTTTCCACATTGAATTAAGAATTAAGAAAAAATGTGTGGAATGTTGTCTCTTTTATTGCACTTTTTCAACTTTAAATCAAAGCTATATCTTTCTTTTAAGACGTAAGATGATAAATAGGGATTGTGAACTAAATACTTCAGTGGGCGGGACATTGGAAAAGTCCGGCAGCCGAATTTTGAAAGTATGGAAGCCGAAGTATGAAATGAGCCGAAAAAGAATTTTGTTCTTGTTCTGAACACCTCGAAAATAAAAAACAATTTTTTGCTTCTCGTTGAGTATGTGACGGCCTTTAGGGGTTAGTTGAATTAGTTGCACATGGGCAGGTAACTGCTGCTGTGATGGTGATGGGATGAGATTTCTCATCTGACAGGGGGTAAAGAAACTCTCTGTGGGTAACACAGAGGAATGGACGCTGGAACCGAGGCAGCTTTTCTCATTTTCACTGCCGGCTTTTCATATATTCCTCACTCCCTCGTTCCTCATTGAACTATTGTCTTCATTTCTCCTTTTCACTCCTCATAAAGTGGTGTGCGTCTGTGTGTGTGTGTGTGTGTGTGTTCGTGGAGTATATAAACCGGCCTTTCCATCTTTAAAATCCAGTTTTCCACAAGTGTGCTGAGTCAGACCTGTTGGCCAGCTCGGTCACTGGTCACTTGTATTTAAATACATAGTTTAAAAAGAAAAGAAAAAGATTTACTTTAAGAAGGGAAGGCCCAAATCCAGACTCTTACTGTAACTTTATCCTAGTAAAATCTTTCTACATATTAAGTACATCCTTTGCGATGTCCTGCTGAGAAAGAAACACCAACTACCTCAAATATTCTACGTATATGTTATTATTTTCAGCTTTATTGTATACTTGTGGAAAATGTTTACAAGATCTCTATGCTTGGCTATTGTGTGATATTTGGATTGAGCCTCGGATAGTGTCACCTACATTGTCACAAGTGATCGATTATTGACGTTATTTGTAAATCTCTAAGTTTTATAGTTTCTGAGGGGGTAAAAAAAAAGTCTGTTCCACACAGTCTGTTGCTCTGTGTAGCTCATGATTGAGCCATAAAATAAAGACTGTCTGTTAACCCGAACGTCTGCACAGGAAACTGTTATTCTGATATTCGTTATGGGTTCTTCTAACTGTATGTTTTCCCTGAGTTTCACGGAGAACGAGCACTGGAACCTTCCCGAACCCCCAAAAACTTTGCATTTGAATGTCAAAGAAAAGGGTTTTATTCAAACAAAAACATGGCTGACAAAGGGCGGGAGGCAGGTTCCACCCCGGACTTGTCTGCTGTCCATCACAGGGCTTTTCTGTTATTTAAAAAAAAGGAGAAATAAAAAAGTAAGATCCTCTGCTTGTGCTGCTGCGTTTTCTGAACCAGTTCATTATGTGCCATGTTGAGTTTACAGTGTTCCGAATGTTGTTTGTGTTTTTTCCAACAATTTTCTATAAAAAAACTGGTTAAATAATTAATTTGCATTACCTTGGGCTAAATCTCAGTAGGAGTACATACTTTAAGTTGTTCGCACGTCTTGCTTCACATTATTTTTGTGCTGTGACAGTTTTTTTTCACAGATGATTTTATTAGCACAGCCTTTTCTTTCTAGACGAGCTGTAGTAAGTGGATCAACAAAGAGATTTTGAATCTATATATTAGCATGAACGAACAAATGCAACCTATTCCTGCGCACAAAACAGTGTTTTTGTGGTTTGTCTATCAATGCCAGGAAGCTAGATTATCAACGGATTAAACAAAAATCCTTCGTCTGGGACTCAAAACGGCACAGCCGAGCATAGATGAGTTGGGTCACATTGGTCAGAATAGTATTTCTTCATTTAAAAAAAAAAAGAAAAGAAAAAAAGATGGCATCGCTTAAATTTTACAGCATAGGAGGATGACCCTGCTGGTTCTGAGTAACAAACTCTCCACTTTGTTGCTACTTTTCTGGCTGCAGAGTGTCAGAATGTCCATCGGTCATCGGTCAGCACCCTGAAAAGTTCTCGGACTTTTCCCATTTTCCTCACACTGCAATCCAACTGTGGTAAACCGAAGTGTAAAAGTCACCATAAGTGAAGTGTTTAATCTCGCTGAAGGCTTAAAGGCTCATCTCTCACCATCAGCTATATTTCTTTCTCTCTGAGATGCTGAGCAGGTGGCATTCCTCATCTTCACCAGTTTATTGTGCGTTGTGTGTGTGTGTGTGTGTGTGTGTGGTTTATATTTGATCATTAGAAAGCCCCAAAGGTTTGAGCCACCTTATCGATTTCCGGGCTTTGTTCTAAAGCGAACTCTTGACTTTCTCTGCAGGTGCCAGAATTGAGGAGTTTCTCTATGAGAAGTTGGACATGAAGGCACCGTCCAGAGTCACCAACGGAGAGCTGCTCGGTCAGTACATGGAGGACGCGGCCAAGGAGTTCGGAACTGGATCTCCATACGGTGAGCAGAAAAAGCTATTTTTACCAAAAAACACATCTCTATAAAATGGCGCAGTTTATGGTTATCTCCAGCCTTGACTATTGTAACGCACCCCTGACCGGTCTCCCAGCCTGGACGGTAAAAAAGTTACAAATTATCCAGATGGCGGTGGCCCGTGTGGTCTTCTATCAGCCCAGAAAGTCTCACGCCACCCCTCTGTTCCCTGAGCTTCACTGGTTACCCCCGGTTACCCCTGGCTGCCCACATCAAATTCAAGTCCCTGATGTTAGCTTACAACGTCCTTAAGGGGATAGCTCCCGTCTACTCGAACATATCTTGAAAGGGCTTATGTCACAACTCGGTCCCTCCGGTCATCAAAGGATTGTGGCCAAGCGGTGCCTACACCACGCTTAAGACAATCCAGACTGTTTTCAAGTGTTGTTCCAAGATGGTGGAAAGACCTTTAGGAAACTCTTAAAGATCAACCTCTTCAAAGAGCATCTCCTATCCTGACTCTTCCCCATACCTCTATAGCCCTTCTACTACTCTTTCTGTGCTTCCCTCTCTCTCTCTCTTTGCTATGTCCACTGATTCTGACTGGGAAATTTTCCTCCAGAGAACTTATTTTCATATTGAAAACTGTAAAATTGTGTCTACTTTGTAAGTCGGTTTGGATAAAAGCCTCTGCTAAATGCATAAACATGAACATGTAACCCTCACCTTAACTGGACACAGGCCACTTGTTGTCAGACCAGTTGGGATATAAGCTAAAGGGTGAAACTTAACTCGTACGCTGATTGTCTCTCGTCGTGTCTACGTTCCCGCCTTGCACACAGCCAATCGAATTAAATCCATTTCCCTTTGTGCATCGGTGCTGCTTTAATGAGGTCATCTACAGTCTGCATGATGCTGCGGCATCGTCGGGGCAGAGAATCTCATCTGTGCAGGAGTTTGGCAAACCCTGGTAGTGATTTGTGTCTTTCAGTGACATTCTTTGAGGTTTCAGGTGTCAGTTTTTGTGCCATCTCCAATTTTATTTGAATGGAATGCCTAACCCCTCCATTAGGTCTAATGAACAATCTATTTGATTACACAAAAATGACGTTTTACATTTTATTTTCACTCAGTTTCTCCCTGTCTGTAGAATAATTTTCATCGAAAAGCAAAGTATAGATGCTACATAGACTCTCTTTACAACTGAAAATCCAACTGGGACGTATCACATGTTTGAAATATCCCTACAATCCGCCCTCACCCGCTGATCCTCAGTGTGTATCCACGCTTTCATTAGCAGCTGATGGACCCGTGTTAATGCACTGCCTCTCATCACTCCATGGGAGTGCAGGTCACTCGGGGATGCAATGAAACAGCTTTTTACTTTGCACCACACACACACAGTTTCCTTCCAGCTTTGCCTTCAGCCAGAAAACCCCCTGCCCCCTGCTGGGCCAGTCGCCGTCAAACCTGAATTTATCCTCCTCACTATGGAGATGCACCGGTTACACTCTCAGGGTGACGTGTTTAAAATCTGAGAACAGGTTAAAACACTGGTTGTCCGGGTTTTCAGCCTCCAAGAAACAAACCAAACTGACTCTGTTTTCCTTTTTTCATGCTGGATAACGTTTTCTAACAAATAGCTATTTTGAATATGTTGCTTTGAAAAGGGTTAGAGCAGCTATTTGTTTATTTGGAATATCCTCTAATTCTGCTTAAAGCAAAAATTCAAGTATTTTTTTTGTATTTATAGGGACTGAAGGTAATTTGGTTCATCAGGCTGGTTTTAAAACTAAATTACTTGCCAGTTGGGCTCAGCTTTTTATCCTTTATGGATAAAGTGACAATTTCTATTATTATTTCTCGATAAGAGCAGAAACATTTGATGTTTGCATTGTAGAATGTGATAACACCTTTTTGAATAACAGTTACTTTACTGTTGATAAAATGTCAAAGGGTTTCACGGGGCAATTTCCCCACTCCGAGATCAATAAAGTGATCTAATTACATCACTCCAGATGCATTTTACAGAGGAGAGAATGGACAGAATTCATAACGGTTCTGACTGTAAGAAATATGTGAACAAAAGCTACAAAACGAGGCTGCACAATGCACAAAGCGAAGCCACGGGAATGTTTAAAAAAGTGAATTTTATTGAGATTCAAACGTTACGAACAACTCTCATCTGTAATTATTCCTGGCAAACAACGAGGCCCACCAGACTTTTTGTGAGTTATTCAGTTCTTCTTTTTGTTCTTCTCATTGCAGGGAGCACCTTGATTAAGGTGGGGGAATGTGAGAAAAGACTAGGCGCCGCGGAGAGGGAGTTCATCCAGACGTCAGCAATCAGCTTCCTCAATCCCCTCAGGAACTTTCTGGAAGGAGATTGGCGGACCATTTCGGTGAGCCTGGAACGATTGTCCGAATATATATATATATATATTTTTTTCTATCTGCGCACCATCACAATGAACAAAAGTGAACAGATGTGGAATTTTATTTGAAAATCGGTTTAAGTCAGCCATGACTTTTGTTTTTAGATTCGCCTCATTTCGCAGCTGAAATAGCTGCTTACTCACTGAAGGCTTTAGGGAGAATTAAATAGGATTAGTGGCCATCTGGAAAGAGGGTTCAATTACAGCTTTGCTGATGCAGATGTGAGAAAACCTGAGTCTATAAGAGGACAAAGGATAGCATCCCCCCAACTAGTACGGTTATTAGGGTTTGGGATGAACCTCTGTGCAACACAGAAATGTATCTAATCTATTAAGTGATTTTCAAATTAAAAATGAAAAAACAAATACAAAGAACCATTCAAATATATACACAATATGTTTTAACTGCATAAATAAATGCAGGCAAATCAGAAAAACCTGAGAAAGAAGGTGTACTATTCCTATTTTTATTAATTATAGTGCATTCAGATTGTATTCACAGCACTGTGACTCTCTCTACACAAAATTGACAATACCACATTATGACAATGTAATAAGCAGTTTTTTGGGGAGGTGTTTGCACATTTTCTAAAAATTGAAAGCTAAGAAATCACATTTACATAAAAGTTCACAGAGTTCAGATCTCTACAGAGATCAATATCTGTCCCATCAGACCAGAGAATCTGGTTTCTTATGGTTTATCTGCATCAACTTATAACGTAGGTAACGCCTTACAATTAAGATCAAAGCTTACAATAAGCTACACCGAAGGAAATCATGAGTCAGACTGGGGAAGTACAGAAAAGAGAAGGTCCAGACGAGGGGATGGGGGCATAAAGGGTAAGCGATGGGTAGGAAGTGCCTTCTGTTGTGGAATTTTCATATAAGAGTCTTTGTCCGTTTGAGGAAGTCACAAATAGACATTTATTAAAAGGAAAAATCCAATTTCATGAAGTGAAAGCAACCAGCACAACCGCACGTGTGAATAGTAGGACGTAGCAAAGCGCTCTGACTATGCAGAAATTGGCATCACAATTTATTGACCCCAGAATCCGGTCAGCAAAGCCTAATCTATCCAACAGGATAAGAGGCCCTGTTTAAAAGCTAGTCCTTTTGTATCTCTGTGAACAGTGACTCCATGATAGGTTGATTGGACACTCCAAATAGTTCGTCTTCACGTGTCCACCCTGGACCGGTGCATCCAGTTTCAATTTAAGGCCAGATTCTAAAGGAATTCCAATAGATTCTAAGGAAAAATGACTAAGCAGACAAAAACGAGAGATCGAAAAACCACTGGCGAGTGGTCAGAGGTTGCTTTGCGCAACTGTTTTGTGCTTTTGTGTTTAGAGGCTCACATTCTAACGAGACTCACATAGGGTCACAAGCGGTCATTGTCACTCAGTCTGGGACAGAATTAAAGCCAAACACAAGTCGTGTTGTATATTCGAGTGATTTAAAGACGAAAAGGAGTCGGGTGGATAATTCAACTGAACTTTAGTGAATATAAAAAAAAAAATGGATGAACGAATCATACATTACAATACACGACAGAGTGTAGGTGCTCGGCTAACATAGCTCTTTTTCTCGGTAAACTCCTCAATTCTACCTCTTCGTCTCACCTCCAGTTCCTCTTGCACTTGTGCAAAGCATCATGGGATATTGAGTCCATTCTGTTAAACGACCACAAATAGTCCGTTTTGAACCAGATACTAACTATAAAATGCTAACTAGATTTATGAACTAACTGCAACTAAAATAGTTACCCGATATTAAATTATAATATCCCAAATAATAAGTCCTAAACAAATCCTGGTTAAACCCAAAACAAATTCTCAACAAGTCGTATAGGGACATATGTAGTTGTATCTCCAAGGAGTACAAATCCAGCCTATGATAATGATATATCATAGAAAACAACAACAACAAAAAAAACCCTGAAAGAGATGCATGTATCATGTCAGAATGATTCAAATAAAATCTGCTTGCCCCTTTAAGAAAGAGCGCCGTCTCCTGGAGAATCTGCGACTGGACCTGGACGCCTGTAAAACCCGTCTGAAGAAGGCAAAAGTGGCCGAGGCCAAGGCTTCGGTGAGTTATCCGTTTTTTCCTTCCCACCCCCGGTCGTTCTCCAGTTATTCCCTCCATCATACGAACGAATAAGCTTTGGTGCTGCCGCCCGTAACTGTGACTAACTCTCTGTGTGTTCACCAATCCACGTTGCAGTGCGAGGGTGAAGTGAGTATTAAAAAAACAGACTTTTGGTATGAAGCATATATGAAATGGCTTTTTTTTTTTT